TTTCACTTCAACCTGCTTTAAAATTTTCACAGTTTAACACAAAGAATTTTCACAGTCACAGACTTATACAGTTCCCAAGTGGAAGGTCCCTATTCGGGCGCCACTTAAGTTTTTTGGGTAACGGATTTCTTTTTAAAAAAGATTAAACATCTAGTCCACTTGAACACTCACTTAAGACTAGCTTTATTTCTATCGATTAATGCTACAGGTGAACTTATGTCTACTCAGCACCTCATGCCATCGGTGCAGAGTCCATGCACTGTCGTCCACGTTGGTCAATTTTGCTGATGCGCCTCGATGCTGCCGGTGCGATGTCGTTCATTAACCGGCGGCCGAGTCCCACGAATTCTGCTGACGTTCGTTGACACCTGGTGAGGACTTTGCACTTATTGTTCTACCAGCCGGATGGCAATGTTGCTAAGTCGGGTGACGATGTTGCTAACTCGCGCAGCAGCTGGAAGCTGCACTACCCACGGAAGAGCAGCTTGGCGCAGCTTCTCTTGAAGATGGCTGGAGGGGCATCCGTTCCACCATAGGTAGTACCATAGAGGTAACTCTAAGACCACTGGGTCCCGAAGAAAATCATTATTATTTTTGGCTCACTCAGTACCAGAACAACGGTCCCAAGCAGTCCCAAGCTATTTCACTCACCCCTGCATGTTCTGCATGAATCCACACACCCCTGATGTTATCTGTCAAACTTTCATAGCGAATCAAAACAAACATAGTGTAGTAATAGAATTTCAACTAGAATAGGGTACGTTAATCGTTTGCTTGGGACCAATAGGCTACTAAAGTGGTGAGCCAATTTAAAATCGTTAGTTTCGTATTGATTGTTGGTAGTACTGCTGCAGCGGCACTAGGTACTGCAATCCCGGACCGAAGAAATGACTGGTTTGACGGCGAATGCAAACTGTTAGTAGAGGAGAAGAATGCAGCACGGGCGAGAATGCTGAAACACCGCACGAGATTGAATGTGGAGCGATACAGACAAGCGCGGAACAGACAAAAGTCGGTTTTCCGGAAGAAGAAGCGTCAGCAGGACGCAAAGGCTACGTGCCGCAAGCCGATATGTGCAAGGACTTGGACGGTAACCTTCTCACGAACGAGTGTGAGGTGATTGAGAGGTGGAAGCAGTACTATGACGAACAGCTCAACAGTGATGCAGCAGAAAACGAAGGTGGCATGGCAACATACCTTGGAGCACGCGCTGAAGACGACAGGCTACCGGCCCCTGATCTTCAAGAAGATGAGGAGGAGATCGGTCGGCTGAAAAACAACAAAGCAACTGGTGTAGATCAACTACCAAGTGAGCTATTAAAATACGGTGGTGAAGCACTGGCTAGAGCACTGCACTGGGTAATTGCCAAGATTTGGGATGAGGAGATATTACCGGAGAAGTGGATGGAAGGTGTCGTATGCCCAATCTACAAAAACTACTGCAACTACCGCGCGATCACACTGCTGAGCGCCGCCTACAAATTCTATGCCACCGCCTGTCACCATATGCAAGAGAGTTCGTGGGGCAATACCAGGCGAGATTCATGGGTGCCCGCGCTACCACGGAACAAATTTTCGCAATTCGGCAGTTTCTGCAGAAATGCCGCGAATACAACGTGCCCATACATCATTTGTTCATCGATTTCAAATCCGCATACGACACAATCGATCGAGATCAGCTATGGCAGATTATGCACGAGTACGGATTTCCGGATAAACTGACGCGATTGGTCAAGGCGACGATGGATCGAGTGATGTGCGTTGTTCGAGTATCGGGGACACTCTCGAGTCCCTTTGAATCTCGAAGGGGGTTACGGCAAGGTGATGGACTTTCGTGCCTGCTATTCAACATCGCGTTAGAAGGTGTGATCAGAAGAGCTGGGATAGACACGAGTGGCAAGATCTTCAGAAAGTTCATCCAGCTTCTTGGCTTCGCCGATGACATCGACATCATGGCATGGAACTTTGAGACGATGGCGGAAACGTACATCAGACTGAAGGCTGAAGCTAGGCGGATTGGACTTGACATCAACGCATCAAAGACAAAATACATGAAAGGAAGAGGTTCTAGGGAAGACAATGTTAGCCTCCCACCCCGAGTTCAGATTGATGGTGACGAAATCGAGGTGGTCGATGAGTTCGTGTATTTGGGCTCACTGGTGACCGCCGAAAATGATACCAGCAGAGAAATTCAAAGACGCATTATGGCAGGGAATCGTGCCTACTTTGGACTCCGGAGGACGCTCCGGTCGAATAAAATTCGCCGCCGCACAAGGTGTTGCGCACCATCCACGGTGGAATGCAGATGGATGACGGAACGTGGAGAAGGCGAATGATCCAACAATCAATACGAAACTAACGATTTTAAATTGGCTCACTACTTGACTAGCCTATTGGTCCCAAGCAAACGATTAACGTATCCCATTCTAGTCGAAATTCTAGTACTACGCAATGTTTGTTTTCACGGCGAATGAGAACGACTCAAATTAGAGTTTAGTTCACTCATAATCGCCAAAAGTGCAGGAACTCAGCGATGAGTTAATTTGCCTCATGTTTTCCCAGGTTTTTCCAGGATTTTCCAGGGAAAAATTCCCGAATTTGAGAAAAGTAAAGATTGGATTCATTCAGTCTATTGGTACTACTCCGAGACTGAATAAAATTTTCGTCAATTTCCTCATTTTCCGGCAGATTTTTTAGGTTTTCCACAGGAAACCATGAGACAAATTTTACTCATCGCTGAGTTTCTGCACTTTTGGCGATTATGAGTGAACTAAACTCAAATTTGAGTCACTCTCATTCGCCGTGTTGATTCGCTATGAAAGCTTGACAGATAAAATGAGGGGTTATTGGTTTTTCCTATGTTTCGAGGGGTGAATCGATTAGCTTGGGACCGAAGAGAGTACCAGAGCTGAGCCAAAAAGTTGAGCACGTTATTTCGGGACCTTCTAGTCTTAGAGTTAGCTCTATGAATGAACCACGAATTGCACCAGCTGCTGGGAGAACCATCCATCGTCCACATTGCAAAAATTGGGCGACTACGGTGGGCTGGGCACGTTGTAAGTATGCCGCACGGCGACCCAGTGAAAATGGTTCTAGAAAGCGACCCAACAGGAACAAGAAGAAGAGGCGCGCAGCGGGCAAGGTGGATCGGCTAAGTAGAAGGCGACCTGCGGACCCTTCGTAGACTACGAGGTTGACAAAGTATGACCATGGATCGAGTAGAGTGGAGACGACTTCTTCGGACAGTAGAGGACAACAAGGCCTTAGCCTGATTGGTAAGGTAAGGTAAGAACGAAAGAGATGACAAACTCAATGAGCCTTACACATTTACATCTCATTGATGGATCTTCAGTAGGCCGACAAATCAAACGTCAAATCTAATCATCATGTCGAAGAAGTGTGAAAGCATGCGAACATTGCATCTGACAAAAATTATCGAGCAGTCCGCTCGAATCAGACCAACAAATCAGATAGTCTAAACGCACCAACTGACCACTTTGTCAAGCAGTTTTGGTGTGACTTCCTACCAGTGATTTCACAAAACTGAACCAACTAGTTTATACTTTTTTTATGAATCGCACAAATGTTGGCTACTTTTCTCGAGGTTCTAGAAGACATCTCAAAATAATGTTGCAAGGCAAAGTTCGAGTAGTAGGATGGGTCATTTTAAACTGCTCGAATGATGTGATCCATTTCAGTGAAAAATTTCTATACATTTCTGAGAATAACTGCATAAGAATTCTAATGTTAATTTATACGAGTTTTAATTAGAATTATTGAATTTTTTTTTAGGTATAATCAAAAAAGAATCGGAGAGATGGTGGGCGTTGACCAAATTTGGATTTTTCAGATATAATCCTAAATATGACCTAGATTATTTAATACTCTAGTAACCTCAAGTCCGTGCTCTGTCACAATGTTTCATTGTGATTAATCAACACTGAAAGGGGTAAAATATAAAATTTGGAGTCAATTTGAAAGAAAGGGAACTTGGAGTGTAGAGCGCACTGCCCACTGGACGATTCTGAAGCCTTTGAAGACGCTTCACAAACGGAATATTAAAAACTCACACTCACTGTACACTTTAGCTATAGTTCATTCTCGACTGACCTGTTGTCGGCCTCCTCGTTTCATCATAACCTCTCTTAGACATATCCTCTCACTCTCTCATGATTCCTCACTATTCACAATTTCCAATGTATATATTGATACATTCAAACCATTGGCATTTGGTATTTCAGATAATTGGAGGCGAACCAGCCCAAGGCTGAAAGCCTCCCTAATAAAGATAAATAATAATAATAATATTTCAGATAAGACAGATAGGATGCGGAGGGCCGCTTAGGAGGAGCGTAACCCATGTTATGGTTTCCATTTATTAAATAGTTCAGATAGGCTAGAAATGACAGGTTTATAGTGAGAGAATGTACCATATTGGGAAGGCATAATGTTCATATGGTTCAGAGCGGCTGAGCAGTTCGTTTGTAGTTTGACCTTCCTTCAAAACCAATTTGGCTCTAGAACAATTTTAAGCTTGTTCTGCATTATTCACATGTTGCAATTATTGAAAAGAGCTCGATATAAGATAGCCACAGAGAACAGACGTTGAGGCTCCAAAATTTCACTAAAAACTTGTGTAAAGATTCCTATTCGACTTAAGCGCCACTAACGGCGATTTCCCCACTTAAAAACCCTCTTTGACAACATGGTGGCGCTGGCGTTGCAAAACTTACACTAGACACTAATAATGTAATATAGGCTGTCTTGCAATGAGCACTCATACATAGGATTTCCTGTGAAAACTAAATTAATTTTGGAAGAATTCTGAATCGCTGTGAAGGGGAATGATTCTAAAGGAAATTCTCAAGATCATACCAATAAAATCTTGTAAAGAGTTCTGAGCGGATTTTTAAGATAGTTAAAATTTGAACAAATTTTAAAGACCAAACGCAGAAACAACAATAATTTAACATTTGTAATGCTCCATTTAACCAGTTGATCCCTGCGTTGATACCTTGGACTAAATCGCATTTGATTTTATACACATCGTTATTTTTTAACTGATTTGTTTGTGACTTTGACATATGTTCTTGTTTTAAACATGTTACGATGATTTCGTTTATTGCAGTTATAACTTTACTGTGAATCAAAGTTAAAAATAAGTAACAAAAAACTTATTCAGAAAAATCCATGAATTTATCTACCTACTATTTTCTTCTCTTGGTCCAAAAAATAACTGTAGGTAGCTTAAGTAATACAGATCAATGTAGTCAGAAAATAAAAGAGAAAATAATGACCATTTTCAAACAAATATAAACACTTACGTACACGCAGTTTCTCACACGGCCGTCGTCATCTGCAGGTAGGTCAACTGACAGGCCGGTCTAATCTGATGCAACAGGTTCAGCATATTGTACTCAATACGTCGCATGGTGCGCACGACAAACTCCTTCAGGTTGACGTTCTTCGCCAACATCTCCTGGATGGTTTCCACTCGCAGCTAAACAATAAAAAGCATCCATCAATCCCATATTTTCTATTCAACCCACTGCCACTTCCTCACCTCGTGGGACGATATGAACAAATTCTCCACCGGAAGAGCCTGGCACCCGTCGAAGGTGCACTCCGGTTGCTTCCCTTGCAGCGTAATGGACAACTTCTTCAGCTGCTGCAGCCGATGAATGTAATAGAATCCGTGCCGCGTGATCCGATCGGAAACAAATGTCAGCTCCTCGAGCTGAGGGCATCGCTTCGAAATCGCCCACAGACTTGCGTTGTCAAACTGCATATCATTCGAGATGTCCAGATGAGTCAGCAGTGGGAATGCATACCGGAAACCCCTGTAGAAGGGCAGCCCACTGGTCACTCCATCCACCGTAAGCTTCCGCAACGAAGTAGAATCCGCCAGGACGATGAAACCCGTGCCGTAGATTTCCAACTCTTTCAGATGCTCCATTTCATTTCCCTCGTACAGTAGAACCTTCGTCCGGGTGTCTTTGTAGTTTTTGATATGTCTGATCGTCAGCTTCTCCAACCGGAAGCAGTAACGGTACGTGAAGGCCAGGAAAACTTCCTCGATTCGTCGGTAGTCGACTTCTTCATCGTCAAGGTCCGGTTTCTCATCCTTCGGATGCTGGGCAATCGGAAGCAGACAGCGATCATAGCTATCCACCTCCTGGTCCCACAGCATACGATCGTATTCTTCCAAACCCATTTCAATCTCCTTCATCCGGCCATAGTGCATCTGCAGGTAGGTCGGGACAAGGCATTGGTCCAACGTAAGGCTAAGTTCGTTCAAATGCTGTCCAAATTTGCGCAGTGCCAGCACTGCCACCATGAAGGACCGTTGGTCTTGAATCATGATCATTAGCTTCCGGTATCGCCGAACCGAACGACTCAAATAGTACCCATACTCCAGGCAGACGTCCTCCTCTTCCATCGAGGGGTTAATTCGAAGCATGAAGTTATCCAGAAGCTCGCTGCGACAAATAAGCGAATTCCAACGCGAGCATACCTGCGTCGCTGGCAGCATGGCGTACTGAGGGAGCCATCGGAAGATCTGCATCAGCAGCTGTGCGAGAGGCATGAACATTATATTTTTTTTCGGGAGATCGGGATTAACGAAACAACACACTTACGTCGTTTGGCAGCATTCTGATGGAGCATGTGGGATACATTTTCCGTTGAGCCTGATTTCTTTTGGTCATTGTTAGTTGTTGGGTCACAAAATATTTAAAATTATGGTTATATTTTATGATCCGATGTTACGTGATGACTGGTTGTTGTTTAATTAATAAAAATAATTTCCCTAATTAAACATTATTTACTTTTTACTATTAATTATTAATAAGTGAATATTGATGTAAATTTTGATAACCGGTCAAACGACTTTGTTTACCAACACAGTTTGATTTCATATTTTCGAACACGAAACGTGAAGCGTCATAGAATTAGGCGACTTTGCTTATAATAATGTATTGTCAAGGTTTATAGAAGCAGAGGGGTCAATAATTCTAGATTAATTCACACTAAAAAAAATTCCACACATTTTTAAGAACGAATTTCCACATGATGGCAAAAATACTATATTGATGGTTTAAATTAAATACTCCCACCAATAGATTTTTGCAGAAACGAAATTCATTTAATTTTACTATTTTTTCTATCAAAACTACTATCAACAATTAATTCGAAACTAACGATTTTAAATTGGCTCACTACTTGACTAGCCTATTGGTCCCAAGCAAACGATTAACGTATCCCATTCTAGTCGAAATTCTAGTACTACGCAATGTTTGTTTTGATTCGCTATGAAAGTTTGACAGATAACATCAGGGGTGTGTGGATTCATGCAGAACATGCAGGGGTGAGTGAAATAGCTTGGGACTGCTTGGGACCGTTGTTCTGGTACTGAGTGAGCCAAAAATAATAATGATTTTCTTCGGGACCCAGTGGTCTTAGAGTTACCTCTATGCTACTATGCCGTTTGAGTAAGCATAGTAGTTTTGATAGAATGGTAGTAAATTTGATTATATTTATAGTCAACTATACCGAAATCATGGTAGATTTAACGGGCTTAAACGTAGTTATACCATAGAGGTAACTCTAAGACCACTGGGTCCCGAAGAAAATCATTATTATTTTTGGCTCACTCAGTACCAGAACAACGGTCCCAAGCAGTCCCAAGCTATTTCACTCACCCCTGCATGTTCTGCATGAATCCACACACCCCTGATGTTATCTGTCAAACTTTCATAGCGAATCAAAACAAACATAGTGTAGTAATAGAATTTCAACTAGAATAGGGTACGTTAATCGTTTGCTTGGGACCAATAGGCTACTAAAGTGGTGAGCCAATTTAAAATCGTTAGTTTCGTATTGATTGTTGGTTATACCAACCGGTGGAAACTAACGATTTAAAATTGGCTCACTACTTGACTAGCCTATTGGTCGATTAAATCGATTAACGTACCCCATTCTAGTCAAAATTCTAGTACTACACAATGTTTGTTTTGATTCGCTATGAAAGTTTGACAGATACAATGAGGGGTTCGTGGATTTTCCTATGTTTCGAGGGGTGCATCGATTAGCTTGGGACCGAAGAGAGTATCAGAGCTGAGCCAAAAAGTTGAGCACGTTTCTTCGGGACCTACTAGTCTTAGAGTTACCTCTATGCTCATACTGCATGTAATTGTAATTGCAATTTATTTCGTTAAACATAATCCTGATGGATGAGCCTTATTAGGACAAAGAAAAAAAATCTAAGAATCTTCGTTCGCAGGATCTACACGGCCAACTCCAACAACTCAGTGACTGAATTTAATTGACTCAGAGCATTTTCTTTCTATACGAAATTTACTCATGTTTGGGAAAAAAAACCGCAGTTACTCATAGCTACAAATATGAGTAAATTTCGTATGGAAAGAAAATGCTCTGAGTCAATTGATTTCAGTCGCTGAGTTTGTTTTCCCTTGATTTATTTTCCGCCGATCTTGTTTTCCGTGCTGAGCATCAATGCTACCGACGCCAGAGAGGCAACTCCCACACCTGGACCCTACCCCTATCGACCCATCAACTCATGAATCGGGGACCAACGGCTTTACTTCCCTTTCGAAGGAAGGTGTGATCAGAGATGTTATGCCTCAGAACATCCCGGCTGCGCTGACTGGGATTGAACCCAGACCTGCTGGGTGAGAGGCAATCACGCTTACCACTAAACCACCGGCGCCGCTGTATTCAGTCGCTGAGTTGTTGGAGTTGGCCGCGAAGAATCGTCTCCAAAAGCATGCAGAACCTCCTTCGCCGAGAAGGGAAGAAAAATTCATTGAAACTTCCTTGAACTTCTACTGGTAGCATCCAAAATCACCGAAATCGCGTGGAACCTCGTCCACCGAGAACGCGAGAAAACGCTATTGATATTCCCTGGAATTTCTGTCAGCAGCATCGGTAAGCATCACCGAAATTATGTGGCACCTTCTCCGCTGATAATGCGGGAAAACTCTGTCGAAGCTCCCTGGAACTTTTGCTAGCTGCATCTAAATTCCTACCAAAATTGTATGGAACCTCCTTCACCGGGAACACGAGAAAACTCTGTAGCAATTTAATGGAAGTTCCACTTGCAGCATCTTAAATCGCAACCAACATCATGTGGAATCCCGTCCACCAAGAACACGAGAAACTTCCATAGAAACATCTGTACCTCCTTCACCGACAATGCATGGAAACTCCGTTGGCAGCATCTGAATTATTTACTACACGGTAAGAAAAAACTACCCACAAGTATGGATGACTTCGCAGTACTCAGGCTCTGAACCATTTGGTGGATTATTTTAACTTTTGGTTAAAATTTGACAGATGAAAAGTTATCGATTAACCGCGAGCGTGGTTACTTCTGACAGACAAGCAGTTAAATTTTGACAACCTTGGCTAAAACGCTGTCCAGACTGGAGAGTTATAACATGTTATAACGGTTGTCAAATAATTGCAGCACAGAGACCACCATCAAGATAGCGCTATAACATGTTATAACTCTGTAGTCTGAACGTACTATAAGTTCTTCTCGAAAACCGGTCGATCGACAGCACAGGGATTTTAGAACATAGAAAATAACTTTCGAAATGTCACTTTTAACCACGAGTTAAATTTAAATCGGCAAATGGTACACAGCTGAGTACTGCGAACTAACTAAAAATGCTTGTCATCTGGGAGCCGAGTCCAATTGTCAAACGGGAGCCAAACATTCAAAAGAGCTCAGAAGTCATGTTGATAGTTACTGTTTGAACCACAAGACACCTAATGAAATCATATTAATAATTATAATTATGAAACTGTCGAAACATCAACCTTAGTAGGCGGATAATGTAAATCATCGAACGTGATGCTCGAATAAATGTTTTTTTTTTTTTGATATTTATAATAATGCCAAAACTGGGTTACGAATTGCTGAAACAAGAATTTAATCAAACTTTATAAGAGTCATGTGAGCTTTGTGAGCAGGTGCACCCCCAACACCATGTATTGACGAGTGCACGGATGGATTTGAGTTCACTCACTCCACAAAAAGTGACACAACAGCGGGGCTCTGTTTACTAAAAATGAACACATGAATAATACTCACGTAACATTTGAAACGGGTCTATCAACTTATGTACACAAAACTTGTTAAGCCTTTTTCGCGTTTTTCTGTTTGGAAAGTTTGGCCATTTTTATCTTACTGTATCACATTGTGGAACAGTCATCGCAATAATTTGTTGATCTTCTTTATCGACATGTAGGTTTTGAACGCACTCTTTTTTCACCAATCCCAGTTTGACATTTCTGGATACAATCCGCAAAAGGGTCTAATTCAATAATACAGCTTTAAATTATTTTTTTAAATTTTGTATCTGATTGTTTTCCGAGACCCGCATAAACGCGAACCATAAATTGACCTTACCTAAAATGGTTAAAAATTGTTTATAATCCCTGCAAAACTTTAACTGAAATGGTTATGGAACTTTACATGAACGTTTAATGATAAAGTTTCAACCTTATGTATTATGGTTTTTTGGAACTGGACCTTTGTAAGGTTGTGGTTGTTAAGAACCATTACCGTTCCAAATTCTTGTTTTCTCCATACATTTTCGGAAAGAGAACTATATAAGAATGTTTTTACTTATGATTTGAGAACATTGGTAGTCAGTAAGGTCCATTAATGGTTTTGTATTATCGCTCAACTTTACGTGGAATATATCGTGAATTGGTAATCAGTAAATTACAGGCAACCAATTCGCGATATATTCCACATAATACAGCACAATCAATAGGCCCCTTGGATTTCCGTGTCAGTCCGAGAACTGTCAAAAGATTCCAATTAGATTTTCCTTCTGCATTATTTTTGCTGGCGGTGGCTCTTTTGCCTGCGGTGCGAGAGGATTGTCGCCTTGGCAACCAAAGGTGAAAAACGAAAAACAAAATAAAGGAGCCTGCTATACGGGAAAGTGCTGCCTAGATCGAAGCGAAAATAAGTGCACAAAAGGCGATTATCGGTTCGAAAATTAGAAAATATCCGCGTCCGGAGAGTTGTTCCGTACGGTGGCAATAGTTTAGAGCCGTGAATCGATCGGGTCGAAGTGCTAAATAGTCGCGAATCGCGGGGGTTCCCTGCGGTGGTCGATCGGTCCTGGACTGGAGGAGGTGTGCGTGTGCAATATGTCGTGAAGCGTGTCAACTTTAGCAAGCGGATTCTAATCGACGGAGTGGGTGGTTGCGAGCTGCTGCTATCCGTTCTCGGCGTTGTGCAATATAAAGAAAATATTCTTACTCCGGTTGCTTTCTCCGGCAGGCAAGCGGATTTGTGTGCGTGCCCTTACCCAGCTCGGAAACCTGTGTGTCCTGTGGAAGAAAACTGCGATTCTGGCCGGAAAAGATCGTTTTTGCCTCTTATTCACTTTTTGTTGTTGTTGTTGTTGTGTGAAATTAGTGTTTGTGTGTATGGGGATTCTCCGTATCGAAGAAAAAGTGTCGATTGATACCGTGGGATTCCTGTTGTGCAGGAGGAACTGGTTCCAGCTCCAGGATGATGGTGACTAGAGGAGGAGTGGAGCAGAAGAAGGATCAATCTAGAATGGTAAGCGGTTTTTGTTTATTGGGATATTGTATTGATCCAGGGACTAGTGAGGGTTTGCAGCGCCTTTGGCGAATCGTGAAACTGACGCCCCTTTCCTAATTAATTTCGAAAAAAAAAAGTAATTATTTTACGGATTCAATATATTTCTAAATTCAAAATTTGAACTGAGATGTCCAATTTAAACCCCAAAATCTTAAATATTTTTTCCTATGTCTAAATTGGACTTCTCTCTGCATCTCTTTTCCAATGTTTAATTTTTCCACATAATTTTCTATCAAATTCTCTTGGAATATTTCTCGAAATTCATGGAATTCTTCTTAGAATTGCCATAAAATTCTGCTAAGACTCCCTAGTAACTCACCTATGTAATCTTCCAAAATTCACAAAAGAATCATAATTTCTTCTCAAAACTTTCTTTGTGAAGCCCCTAGAAGTTTTTTTTTATTCTTTGGATTTTTCTCTTAATTCCCTTGAAACTAAATTCAGATTCAGGTTTTCTTTGATTTCTTATGAGATTTTCTTCAGAATCATCCTCAGAGTTTTCTTGGAATTCTCATTGAAACTCCAACCATTGAACCGGGAAAACGGGAGTGGAACTAACCGAGAATCAAAAATAACCGGGAATTTCCGGTCTTGAATATTTATTCATGACCAGATTTTTTACTCATACCTATTTTTTTTTATTTAGGAGATTTTTAGCTGTAAAGGAGATATTTGTTACTACAGGATAGCAAGAAAAAAGAGTGAGATCTAAAAAATGCAATTTGCCAGAGTCTGACATTTGGAATATTTTTGTTATGTTAAGAACGCTGGCAACTTAACTTTTCACGTAACAGAATCTAGAAAATGACTCCATTTCTGGGTAAAGTCTCAGATTCTTGAGAATTTTTGTTATTCTTGGATCTTGTATTTCGGTGTACGGAAAGTGGATTTTTTTTTCAATGTTTGTATTTAAGTATTTTTTTTCTTTTGAACTTATTTCAGGATATCTTTGCAATTGTCTCAACGATTTCCTTAGGATCATTCTAAAATGCCTTTAAATGATTTTTTAATTGGGGATATCCTCAATAATCTTATAATTCTGCCGGGTGTTCCTTAGAAATTCGCTCCATAACAGTATCGGAACACTTACAGAATTGCCTACAAAAAAACTCTCGAAGTTAATTCTACATTTATCTTCATATTCTTAATAATTATCGCAAGTATTTTCTTTAATTTCTCCATAATTTGATTTACAATTAGCTTGGAATATTCATCAGAAATCTCTTGGTATGCCATTCAAATTTGGAAAAGTATTCTCTCAACATTTTCTTTGATTTCACCTCAGAATTCCATGAGAATTACTTGAATTTCCGTGAAAACCTTGCCAAAATGCCCTTGAGAATTGGCATTTTCTTAGGATTATCTTGAAACTCTCCAGTCTTGCAGATTTCATCAGAATCTCCTGGAACACTACTCAGAAAATGTTGGAAATTTTGTCAAAATTTCCTGCCAAACCCTCCCCGAAACTCCTTAAAACTCTTTCAAAATTCTTATCAATCCTCCCAGAAAGTTTCTTAAAACTATTTTCAAACTTGCTTAACATTCTGCTAAAATTTTGTTTTGAACTGAACTAAGAATTAGATCCACTTGGAACTATCGTTCACTGTCCAGCTCTGCTGGGATTATCTCTTTGGTTCATTGATTGATCAACATTTAAGACATTTTCAGGTATGTTAATTAGGTCGTAGGGTTAATTCTATTTGAATCCTCCTCCTAATTGCCTTAGAATCCTCCCTGAAATTTCTTCAGATTTTCCTTAGAACTCCATGGAATTCTACTCACAATCCCCAATGTAGTCTCTTTAGAACTAGATTAGAATTCACCTTTAGTTTTCCTTAAAATATTCTTTAAATAATTCTCATCATGACTTGAAATTTCTAGTCAAATTCCATCGGTTATAAACCCAGAATTTTATTTTTAGAACTATCTCTAGAATTCCTCCACTTTTTTAATCATAATTCAATGATTGAAAGTGTCGGAATCCTAAAATAAAACTGGTGATCGCGCACGGAAATGACCCAATTTGTACGTTGTGTGGAAATAGTTATACACGATTGAGTCCGCATCGTGCTCTGTTGGCGTGCGGATCTATTTGGGTTTGCTACTGAATCTACAAAAAAATTAAACAGCACTTTTCAGTGCTCAATATTGCCTGTAAAATTTCTATCTTGTTTGAGTCTTATTCCTCTTCGATCCTTGTTTTAACCCTACCAGAGGTCATCCTACTTGGATATCGTTTTGGAAACTTCCCTTTGGATCCTTCAGATACTTATAGTAATGTGCTTGGAAGTCGATTTGGAGAAACTTGGTTCTGCCGCCATGGCGCCTAAGCGCAAAAGAAAAGGACAATCGCTTGATCCCCCTTCTGATGAAATGCAATTGAGCAATCAATTTGATATGCTTACGGATCATAAGACTGATCCATCATCCAGGCAAAATTCAATTAAACATTCCCTGCTTAATGCCAAAAAGGAAAAGGTTCCCCCTATTGTTGTAACCACTTCCGATTTCCATGCTCTTCGCAAGGAACTTTCGAACTTTGTTCAATTTAAGTTTTAACTTCAAATTGGCCATAGGGGTGAATACCATGACGAACGGATTCAAATGTACTTTACTGAGAAGAAACACACATTTTTTACTTACGACCCCAAAACTGAACGTCTGCTCAAGGTTGTCTTGAAAGGTTTGCCCAGTGGTGAATCCCTGGATCAGATCAAAGATGAATTGTACTAAATTACTTGGAGTTGAGCCTGTCCAAGAAATAAAAATCAAAATAAAATCCCGTCCGGGCGATTCACGCAACGGAATTTTCAATGATTTATATTTAGTTCACTTCAAGTCTAATTAACTAAACAACCTTGAAGCCTTAGAAAAACTAGCCTTATTCTCCATGTTCGAGTGAAGTGGGAACACTTCAGGTAGGCTGGAGGAAATTTTCATAACCTCACCCAGTGCCAGGGACAGTGCTTGTAAATATCACGGTTGTCATGTGACAATGAAAAAACAGGTCCTCTCATTATCACGAGACAAAACTACCTATCGTGAGCTTTCTCGTCATTTTCAATCTACCCGATTGTGGTTTGCGAATGTAGGTTTCGGTTCGCGAGGTTTGTTTACAAAATTGAGTTGAGGCCTTTTCAATTGTTGCTGCTGCTTCCCCAACACTGTCATCCAGAGAGTCGTTAGTGGACGAAACAAGTCGAAGTGGCATTCGCCTTCGATCTTCGGGCGGGTGCAAATAGGGAGGATGCAATTGCGTGACATTTTGCACTCCAATTGCTGGTTGCAATTCTGCTGTTCGACATTTTCAAAGCACCACCAAAAAACATAAAATTACAATTATTCGATAAACGAAGAATCGTAAAGATTTTTCCAGCTATTGGATTAAATATTTATCGAATTTTCAATTATTCGAGCGCGTAACGGGCATCTCTTCTTATTTCTACTCGTTTGATTTAGCGCAGTAGAGAAAATAAATAAAAGTACTAATTTATCTGAACAGGCATAGAGAAGAACCATGACGTGAAACAGGATTATAAATTCTCCGAAAAAAAGTGTTAAGCGTCTTTCTGCTAAAGGCGAACATTTTCCAACTTGTTGAGAGAAGGAGTTTAACGAGAAAAACTAAAAAGGGGAGGAGCTTTAGCTGGGTGGACACTGATATCGCAGACACCAGTTCAACCCCTGTACAGCAGCAGACGGGTCGAGACTCTTGCGAGTGCCCAATCATTGAACCGAAGAATATGGGATTGTCCGGACCGATTTGCTGATCCAACTGCCTACTCGCCATCATCATCTTCCAAAAGCTTTAAGCCTGTACTACCATCGGCCCTTTTCGGGGCCACCAAGATTTACCAAAAGAATTAAGTTTCAGAACATGTCCCAACTAAAATTCATATCAAAAGGTTCTTTTCAGGGCACTCATAGTCATACTAAAGAGTATAAACAGGGAGAGAGAGAGCCCTGCTCAAATTCCTATTCCTACACAAAACACAAGCTCCTGCTGCAGTTGACAAATAATATTTATTATATAAGACCACGTAGTTCAGTTGCTATCCATCTCCTTAAATGATCAGACGTATAATACCAATCTCGAACTTCTTTTGTGTGACGCACGTGAGTTTTGTTGCCCATAGCCATGCGGGCTTTGCGAGAAAACTGTGTCGTTTTGGATACATCCATTGTGCCTAAGCGGCCGTGTATTTCGAAAATCAAACGATTTTTAGAAAGTGAACTGCAACTTGATATGTCACAAGTGAAATGCATCCAGCCCATAATGAGAAAAACGTTGTATACCTGGGTATGCAAAGTAACGAAGTAGCTAGAAGAATCGCTTCAGCTCATCACCTGAAGCATTTTATGGAGTATGAGGGCAAAAAGATCTCTATTCCAATTTATGTCGAAAGCAGCGCTGTCGACGTACGTTTGCATGATCTCCCAGATGACATGGAGAATGTGGCTATCATCGACCATATGCGCCAGTATGGAGAGGTGATAGCAATTCGCGGTGAGGTTTGGAAGAGTTATTTTTCAGGCTTCAGCAATGGAGTACGTGTTTTAAAAATGAGACTTATTCTTCCCATCCCGTCATTCATCACCGTGGATGGCGAAATTACACTGGTATCATACCCAAACCAAGTGAAAACATGTCGCAATTGTGAGCGCAAATCTCACGCAAAGCAACGCTGCTCCGATGTGGCTGCAGCAGCAGCAACAGCAGCAGCAACAGCAGCAGCAAACGAAGACAGTATTCTCAGTAGCAGCACCAACAACAACTACGTTAACAGCAAGAACAAGAACAACAACAACGCACACAAACTTCCATCAAACGCAGCCAACAGTAAGCAGTGGTCCTCGCTCCCGAAATCGATACCAAATGCAGACCAACAGCAAAACAACAAAACCGAAACGAAACGCCAGCGATCAGTCGACTCGGACACCACACACAATGCAACCAA